TGAGAAAATACTGCTTGCATCACCTGAAGGGGATCGCAGAGTGAGCACAGAGCTCGAGTCTTGCAGGCGCGTCTCTGATAAACAGCAGATATCGATCGAGAGGGTTTCCAATGTTCGGGCAAGTGCTGCCTGTTGACCGATCTGTAGTAGTGTGCGTACATTAAGGTATGCCAATCTGAAGGAGGATCGAGGGCTCCAAATGGAAGCCGATGAACTGGAATGGACCGCTTGGTTGGACATGGGCTTGTCGACAGGAGAGGAGTGACGCTCCGCGTTCACATGTGAGTTGAAATTAGAAGATAAATGCCTGGCAAAGCATGTTGGGGGAGGGCCAAGAATCGAGGGGCTGAAAACTGGGGGGATATAAGTGAAGTTGGAACGGGACGGTAAGAGTGAAAAAGCTTAAGATGGGGAATAAGAAGACGGGAAGGTTGTAGCAGTAGCATCCAAACCCCTATCCACCCTGCTCGATGCAGCAGATAGGGCACCGTTGATTATCCTCTGCGGTGGCCAGAGCATCAGCAATTTGTTTGAGATAACATTCATGGTATTGCGTGGGCAGGATACTGTCAGGTTGCCCAGGCCTAGACAGAAGAACGATTAGGGTTCTCAACCAAAGCCTTTGGTTCAAAAACCTGACCGCAAGGCAGCGGGTTTGGCGTTGGGCTACAAGGAGTCCGTTTTAAGGAATAAGGTGCCACCCTCATTCCAACCCCCAACCTGGAGGACCAGGAGGCTGAGTTTGTCTGGTCTCTAACCATTGACCAATCTGGTATGAGTGGCTCTGAAGGTGCAAAAGCGCCACCCAGCATAGCTCAATGGATCGCTGAGGCACACAAACCATCGCACCACGGTAAGGTCCAGCCTCATTGTGATAGTTGAATCACCCAGCGTGGCATAGAAGTGCGGTCAATAAAAGTTAGTGGGAATCGAGCCTCGAATGCGCTGATTCGGCTCAGACAAAGGCCATTAAGTCATCGAAGTGAGCTACTTGCGAATCAATACAGTGAAGGGAACGTGTGGGTGATTCGCGCAGGACATCGTGACCCGTTCTATAGCGGAGACAACGAGTCGTCAATCTGAAAGTCCCCAGCACTAAACAAAGCGGTTATGCCAGTCACCAATGCGTCGCCGACGTGCTTCATCAAGTACGGGGTTTTGTATGGTCCATGCGTAAGTTCATATCAGGAACAAGGGACCGAAAGTAAGCAGTCGTCTTCGATGATTTATCTTGTGAGTAAAGTAACAGGGGATTAGATCGGTTCAAATGAAATTGGATCACGTGTAGACCAAGGACATAAACCAGCAACAAAAGGAAACGATAAAACCAACTAGAGCAAAGATGTAGTTGAATGATTGCAACTGGCCTCGGAATCATCCATTTTATTTGACCAGGGTAGCTTAAGAGCTTCGATCAGTTCCTTTCGTGAACAAAAAAGCGATTGATACAACCGAATACTGATCGCCTCAGCAGTAGAAAGAGTGCGGACGCGCAGACCTTTCGAATGGAGTAGAATAATCCTTCATAGTATTCGAGACACGGACTGGGTCATGCCCACTATCAACAAAATAGCCCGTATAAATTGCACTGTTGATGTCGCCTAGTCTGACGATGAAACGTCTGCAGCCAAAGCGTCTAGCTCGGAGAACACCCGCATACCGTCATAACAAGGCTAATTATAGACCCGGTACTGCCTCCACGCAACTAGCGTGGAAGGTGCTCATTAATGCGCTTCCACAGTTGCCGCACACTCGAACTGATAAATGATAATGGGAGCGGTCAGCGTCGGCAAGTTGTTGTGAAGACGAATGCAGAAAGTACACTTAACCTTACCTGCTAAGAAAGTTGACTAACAGCTGCTGACATCAATATTTCCGATGGGTTTAAGTGATTGAGTCAGCAGTGGAGAAAATGTGGGTTTGATGAATTCTTCCCTGCGATCAGGTCGACAAATAAAGATGAACAAATCACCCGTCTTTCTCAGCTAATTTCACCTATTGATACCCTTCTCGTGCGCATGTGTTTCTTGTCCACTTGGATAGTGCCGTTTCTCATGCTAGTGCAACTCTCCATTTTCCTGGCCCGTGCCCCCTACTTATTCTTCCGATCGACTCTGACACTTCTACTCACGTGCCATTTATGGGCATTGCGGGCAACTAGACCGAGTAACAAAGGGTTGATGACTGCCTTCTCCGAAAAGTAATCATGAGACAACGTCCTACGGACCGACCACGATGGGCGTAGAGCACGAGTTTCACACGCGGTCTTTGATGATGGCACAGCGTCACTTTCGTTCACTGGATTGTTACTGTTCACTTTAGGCGAAGCATCCTCTGGTTGATAAGACGAAAATGCACCAAAACATCGACCTACTGTGGTCGCAAGGGTATAACTTACTACGGTAAACACAAATGTCGCGTTTACGCGCCCTATCTCAAGCAGGTATTAATGGGGTTTTGCAGCCTTACTCCGTACAGGACCTGTCCCCCGATGTCAAACTTGAGTGAAAGACCAGAAAGCGGACCACTCTCTCCCTGTATCGGACAGTCTGAGAGTTTCATTTGCTAGCAATCCAGCGGCACTAGCAGTCCTTACTTCGTAATCTCCCATTTCACGAATCATCTTCCCATGTTAATCAACAAGATAGCATTGTTGACATCAACAGGGAAATCGGATCATCTTTCATACCCAGGATACCACTTCACGTTGAATGATTCATCATCCACACACTATCAGATTGGTCAACAGATTGCACCCGGCATGAATTTGAATTCCTTCGCAGTTGATGTGCACTGCCCCTTCAAGCCACGCATACAAGACGACGGTTTCCCAACGTGTATACGCTAACTAGACTCGGACACCATTGATGGGGCTTGCACACTTCGCATCCACCGATACTGAATCTGACACGCTTTTGGGTCACAGTAGACACATCGGGGTTGCTGCTGTAAATTAATTTCGGGCGAAAGACTTTTAGTTGTTTCAAGCCACACTGTCACACACCGTAGCTCGGGGGCCATCAAAGATGAACTCTACCAGGAGCTCTTTTTTCTTATTTGGATTGCCAAAAGCACGAAGATTCTGGCCACTGGTTCTAGCGTTTGTCCGTCAGCAAAGCCGGTAGCCTACTCATCACTTACACAAACGGAATCGGGAATGAGGCACTGATTTTATCTTTTAGTGTCGAGGAATTTCATTGTATTTTACAGGGTCACAAATTCGTACCGGAGACCAATCATAAACCGTTCACTATTTTCGGCACCAAGGACGTCTTGTCTACACGGCAAATCATCTTCAACCTTAGACGACACTACTGCCCTGATATAATTTAACCTCAAATTCGGCAGTGATGACCGCCTTAACGCAGAACAGCTGAGTAGGTGGGCTAATACATGTTGGTGTTAGTCGCACTGGAAACGGAAGCGAAACGATCTGTGTAATTTAATCGGGGCCATTCCAGACATCCAGAAGCACAATAAAGTGGACCAAGTCCATTTTGGTAATGTCGAGGTCATTAGAAAAGGTTTGCAATCAACTCCCAGAGGTTGGTTGCCGAATACGATAGCTGCGGGAATAGAATGGGGGGTAGAACTCATACATGCATGGTGAGCGGTCTTAATACGACCAGTCTGACAAGCGTCGGTGATCGGAACAGGTTGCAAAGAGTAACTCGACTGCCTATTGTTACCACCACCGGCTCGTCCGCCGATGTCATGTGGCTGAACCGCTTATGGTGACACCTCGACCTGTAACTGCAACAGCCACTAGACTCATGTCTGCTATCGTCCCTGTTTACTATACAATATCGCTGCACTTCCATATTGATTCATCTGGACTAACGAAGCTTTTGTGCCGAAAATGAAACGACAACCGAATGTTCTTAAATCTCCGAACAATTGTTGGGCACGTTTATATAAAAAGACTGGGGCCGCATGAGCTGACTGAGGCAAGTGCGAAGCCAGACCACGGAGCTGTTCGGAGATTCATGCGCGCAAATCAACCGATCCGACGTCTACAGTTGAAACAGAAATAGGTGAAGCGCGTTTCTGAAGTAGTGTAACCTGTGCCTAAAAGTGCATCGCCACATGACACCAGCTAAAAGCTTGACCTAGCACACGTCTCGGCACTGGTGTATGTTGGTGTCGCCGATCACGTGACGTGGCCTGTGTTGCATCCTTGCCGCGCCCTGTATTGTCGATTGGCTTGTCCGCGCCGTGACTTGGTGCCTGGTCAATACGTTTGCGGTACAGTGACATATTGGTTCTGGCGGCTTTAGACCCCATCGACCGCCACTATGAGTGATGAATGCGGTGCCCATCAAAAACCTGAATCGTGTCACTGCTTGTTGTACTTTTAACTGGGGACCTCGAGATTGGCCACATAGTATTAAATATAACGCAATCACAAATCGGTGACCCCGATACACTCGGTCTCTTGGTTATGTGCCCTAGCTACTACACGTGGCGATTAGGTTACTTCTTCATCGTTCTTACTGTTTTGGCAACTGGACCCGCCGCATCTGGGTACATTGATTCCAGTTATTAAACTGAAGTAAGTGACAAATGATCTCATGGGAGCAGCTCCATGTCACATTGAAGACGATTCTAATCAACAGTAGGCTCATTCGTTTGGATGAAATTTCCAGTCTTCCGGATTGTTACTCAGACTAACTCAGGGATGTCAGTTACGAAATAAAAGTGAGTTGCAGTTGCATAATGCGCATAAAATGAAACCGGATTACTGCGGTGGATTGTGACACGAGGTTGAAATAGTCGCGGTTAGCGGACTCGATTTTTGAGCCTTTAGATTCGGATGTGTTCGTATCGCTCGTACATTATAAGCCCATACGGAATTTGCTACTTACATTCAGCCCTATGCTGCTGCTTGACAAATGCTCAATAGTTAGTTGGGTGGCACCCACGTAGGCATTATCTATGCGAACTGTAAGCGATCACATCGAACCTACTTTGTGTTAATTAAGGCTGCTAATTCTGCTCATACAATTTCTCGGATGGGAAGCAGACCGAACACACACAGCTGTGTAATAAAAAGCCGGAAAAGTTACGTTTTCGAGTGCTTTAACATGTGTAGCAAAAACGAGCGGAATAGTTTTGAGGGAATCTTGGGTCGTCGGCATGTCTTTTATGTGGCGGGAATGAAAGACGTATTGCATCTGATCCGCGTGACTGTTAACATCCGTGTGTTGAAGTCTTGGGGTATCGGTCCCCGACTTTGTCTCGATGCCATGAATCGAACGCTTCTGAAAGATCAAGAATGGCTTTGGACGCGTCCGTATTCACTTGGGAGTCTTGACACCGATATCCTCGCCAATACAGTCGGTATGCGTGAACAACGCGTAACTATAAAGAAACAAGGGAATTTCCAATCAGAACTCGGCTTGTGTTACATATTCGTAAAGCAGTGTAAGAAAAAGTGAAACTTTCGATAGCTAGTGTGGCAAATTCATCTGCAGTACTAATTCAATATGAGTTGTTAATCTTCACTGACGATATCCTATTCTAATGACCTGGTTGAGTTATTTCATATGATTCACTGGTATCGCAACAATATTGCTGCTTAACTCAGTATGGAGACAATCTCGCGTTGGTTGTAAGCTTCTCTAGCGGTGCTGCTATTAGAAGTCAAGCTTCACCCTTGACTGCTAAGATGTATGAAGCTGAGCACACGGTCTTAGTGAGAACATTGAACGACAGATTTCTGTTACTTACAGGTTCCTCATAGACAAATGTTCGGCCATTTCTGGTGTAGAAGTAGAATTCCGGCGCATGGAGCGTGCTGTTTGATGTGAAGCTGGATTTGGCCACTAACAGTTCGGATTTATCCTTTATCACGGTGGTTCGTGGTAGTCGGGCGTAAATTTCATCCAAAATCATGGTAGCTGTATCCTGAGGCTGCGATGAGGAGGAAACAAGCGTAGTGTTCAGTTCAAACCGATTTAGCAACTAAATGTTCCATTTAGAACAATGTAGAACATTTAAACATTGGAAGGCTTCTCCGAGTGACGAGTTTCCTCCTCATCCCTGGTTTCCATATTTGACCTCATGATTGGGCGTCGAAAAAGATCACACTTGATACAACTGTTTTCCTAAATCACGTTTAAAATAAGTTACCAACATAATTGTCAGTTGCATTCTGTGACGGGAGATGATTTCGTGTTAAAAATGAACGGCCCAAAAGGGGTCAAGTTGAACAACCACAACACAGTAAGATAACTAATGGGAACAAACTCGACTATACTCACATTTTCGTCGTATTGAGCACAGAATACTTTCCGAGTCTGAATCGAAAGAGATGAACAAGCGCGGAACAATTCGTTGTTGCCACTATTTATGTGATTGAATTTGGGACATTCGTGACACCAACACTAGCGCTTGCATTCTCTAAGGACAAATGCTCCCAGTTACATGTTCTGAAAAATATCGTTTGGGGTTTCAGATGAGTTTTGCCGATATGGAGTGATTTCACAATGAGCTATCCATTATGCGTACAAGTCCTTGGGTCCGGTTGTGAAGTAGCGGTGTGTACGAATAGCTAAGCAAGATAGATAGACGACTGGCAGCATAGCCGCAGAGTGAGTCTTTCATTGCGGTTAGGATCGGGAGAGTTGTACTACTATTGAAACGGCCGATACGCCGACGCATTAGAAGAGGGTAAAATGAGGAGATTCGAGCTCATATCCCAGAATTTAATGAAGTGAAGGCATCAAATTCTTCATAGATACTTGAAATCGATCGAGTAGTCATGAGTTCAGAGAGCTTTGGAAACAATCGGTTGGTGAAGGCACATTCACCGTATATGGAAAATCTTTAGGGGTTAAGAAAACCTTGACTCTTATGCGAAATAATCGGCACAATGTATCGAAATGTTACGGAGAAGTTTCACCTACTATACGGTTGATCCAGCACAGGTCTAGACGTAAACTAGGTCGGTAGATGAACCGACAATACTTCATGGTCAGAGATGACAAACGAGTGTTCCTTATCTCAACGTAGAACTGACTTAAGGTAGCATGCGGTCTCTTACAGAATGAACGGAGTCTTTTGGAGCCCCAGACGTGCACTGTAAACAAAAGCACCTCTAACTTACCTGAAGATAAGTAAGTTGTCCAACAATACGACAGTCACTCGGAAGCGTTTCACTCAAGAATGGCTCCCGTGCACTCATGCACGCGACCACAGAATGCAAGTTGTTGGTCAAACGGTTTGTCGCTAGACTTGCGGACCCCTTACGAGACGGCATAGTCGAACTTCCTGTGTGCACCTCAAACACACTGTCTATGTACACGTAAAGTTGGCGCGTGAGGATACGATGGATCAGCTCGGAGGCTTCTACCAGCTGACTTGCCATTTGAGTAGCACTGAGTGAATAAATACGTTGGTGGTAAATGTCCCACAGGATTGAGTCGTGCAGCCGAAGAAAGGCATCAAGTTCACTTGGACTCTCGGCTTTGAATGCTTGCAGACTGATGTGTCTCAATTTGAGAAGGGGCTCTGCCAATTCCAAAGCATCCATCACCATGTGCTGTAAGAAAAGTGAAACACACATGATGACGGACGGAAATCCCTTTCAGTTGTTAAAGTAGGTGTCTCACAAACCGAATTCGGAGAACTGGGCTTTCGTCAGAAATTTAGTTACTCTGTTCTGGCTTGGTCTTAGACGTCGTTTAAGGTACAGAGTTTTGGGCACCGGATAGTTATTTGGTGAATTCAGCACTTTAGAGGAAAGCCGCCTCATGGGAAGTACGATGTACCACTGTGAACGCCAAGGTTGAACTAGTAGCAAGGAGTGTGCGTATGCTCAAATGTATAACGTGTGAAATTACAAGCATACATAGAGGAAGGCCAGATCGAGATCTGACGATACCCTTGTGATAACCAGAATGTTAAACCTGAGTGCATGGTGGTCCACGTCTCATAAATCGTCTGTTTCGATTCAGATTTGTCTTCAGGGGAACCTTAAATTCTCCCAAATTAAGCTAACCAGAGCAAGCGGAAGGCCTCTCAGACATATAGTAAGACTGCAAGACAGCAACATCCATCGAAGGTACCGTTTCATCTACGTAATTAAAGCGAAAGTCACGTACCATTAGAAAAATGAGCCCGTGAGGCGCCCACTCAACGACAAGCCACGCGAAGTCGCGTGTTGCGCGCCGTGCCCGTGCAACACAAGCTTCAGTGTACACCTGCATTCTATCAAAATCAGACGTCGCGTGATTGACTGTGCCACGAATTCGAGGGTATGCAATGGTGTTGCCGTTTGACTCGGGTCAGTAAAAGCACTCTTACCTAAAGCCAGTCTTGTCCATTGAGTTCGCAAATCACCTTACTGCTCTCTCGTGACACTGCTCTGTTTGGACGGTGGTCTCTTTGTCGTTCATCTAGTGGCTAGGATTAGGGATGCCGTTCGATTAACTCCGTATTTCATTCAACCAAGTCGCGTGTGGAGGATAGCTTCAAGACTGGTTGGAGGGTCATTTTTAAAGCCTTCATTGTGCAAATGGACAACGGTGCAACATCAATGTGAACCGCGATTCCCATTGAAGCGAATCTTGGTGAATTTGATCTCTGGGACCGTAGCTGAGGCAGTAGGAAATCGGATGTTTCCCACCCGAAAACTACACACAGCAACGCGTTTCGACCTTATTTGATTTCATCAGGTGACCATTGGAATATCAGCCGAGACCTCCATCCCATTGGCTACCGCGTGACGACGGGCAACGCCTGGCACAACGGTTAATGACTGGTTGAAGGGTCATATCGTAGCACTCGTTATGTGAATGGATTGCGACGCATCAGCAGTAGCCTAAAAGTAGGCGATATCCTAGCGAAAGAGAACGCCTGAGCCGTTATGAGGGTATAACTGACGATCGGTGTACTCCATGTTTGTGGGCCACGGAAGCGATAACGTTATTGAAACCGACTGTGTGCCACGAAAACCGTTGTTAGGTCGGTTGCGTATGTCTGCGCGCGTGGACCTAGCTTCATGACGTGTGTGGTGGCTGGACGGAGCTCGACTGCGAGTCCACAACTAGGTAGGAATCGACCAAATCTCCGTCGTCACCATTAGAGTTTTCTGCAAAACAACGGCGCGTTGTGGGCGCATTGAACTAGAACAAGCCACGGGCATGTCGAGAAGTGAATCTAATCAATATCAACTAGTCACATCACAATCGGGTACGTGGGAAGTATTAGGATCATTCTTGCAGAAAGCTGCAGTCGAAGGAGAGATTTAGGCTCATTTTGTCCAGGAGATATCGAAAGGCTATTGGCTAAAAATACGGTTAACTTAAATTGTCCTTACTTATTCTTTGGAGATCCGACTGCAACATTTATGTACTCCCCTCCCCTCCATACAGACCTCTACCTCAGTGTATCAGATAATTGTGACCTGAACAATCATGACGTTTTCGTCCACTGATGAGTTCAACGCATTTCCATCAGAAGATGGTCCCACACTATTTCAACTTACCTCATCAACCTCAATCCAGGCGTGTTTTGTTGCTCAGTGCACGCTCCCATCAAAACAAACGCACTTGCTATGCTCATTGATTTCCCTGTGGTGCACAAATTATAAACGTGACCGAGACGTGGTTGATGGAAGACACTCCTGAGTTTGACTCCCATGTATTGGAATACAATGCATTTATTGGGTGTCGTAAGTCTCAACTAGGTGGTGGTTAAGCCATCTTTGTAAACGAGACATTTCGTGCTTCAACAGCAAATGTTCCCTCACGTAAGTGCCTCCAGGACTCCGATTTTATAAATATGCAGATGGATAATAACCTCTTACTTCTTGGGTGCGTATACGTCCACCCCAATTCCAATTCCGCAGAAACTAATGGGTTGCAAGAACCGTTCTCTTACCTAACACATCAACCGGCTAAGTACAAAATGATAGGTGGAGATTTCAACATGCTGGACGCCTCGTGGATCTCAAGCCATGTGCCCACCAGGTATGCTAATTTAATTGCTTCCTTACATACATACGGATGGACACAGCATGTTACAACTCCCACCAGAAAGAATAACATATTAGATCTGATATTTACCACTGACCTAGTACCAGATTCCGCTGATTTTTGGAACACTTTCCTGGTAGTGACCACAGGGTGGTCTCCTTTTTATTCACAAATCACGCCCGACTCCCAATAACGACTGCGCTCAAGGTACAAATCCCCCCAGGGCACTGTAAATCAGTTGATTGGGACCCGTTTGCTAATCTACCCAGGCATGTTCAGTGAGAGTTTTCTTCCTCACCAACGACCCGCAAGACACAGCCGATGCTTTTTATAACAACATTAATCTCTGTCTCGACACGCTCGATCCGATCAAGCCCAGACACTTTCCCTCTGGTCGCGAAAAGACTGTTTGACGGAAAGTAGCTACTAAACTCAAAAAGCTACTTACAGCCTTCCGCAAAACGAATAACTTCACATTCATGATGCAACACATTAAGTTGCGCACATCGCTGAAGGTGGCTTATCACGCCAGACAAATTGCTGATGAAAAACGGGCTCTAGATAGTCGATACAAAAAGCCGTGAGCTGATTTATTCTTTTATAGCACAGAACGACCAAGCGTATCCAAGTCACGATCTCATTCGTAGCATCAGATGGCTGCAATATAACAGACCCCGTTCAAACTGGCGTAATGTTTAATCAATCTTTCTGCGCCTCCTTCAACGTGGATGTTGAACTGCTACGCATGATCTCGCCGCCAGTCACAGCCGAGCATCTCAACCTTATCGAATTTGAGCTCCACGATACACACAAACTTACCACATTTCGGGGGTCTAGACAATATTCCCCTGTAATCGTGAAACTGGGCGGGAACGAAATCTCCCTGATATTGCTGAGTATATTCAATCCATCCATGAATGCCGGCACCGTGCCAGTTCCGTGGAAGAAAGCCCTAGTTGTGCCACGACATAAATCAGGCCCCCTATTCGAGCTTAAAAACCATCGGCTATTAAGCCACACATCTATCTTATCAAAAATTAGGAAGTGATATATCCAAGATAAAACCTTCGAATCCTTAATGTCAAGAAAGCTAATAAATATCTCTCAACACGGCATCTTGGATAATCGGTCTTGCATAACGTGCCACCTAGAATTTCCAAAGCATATAAATGGGTCGCATGATCTTGGATTGTCAGCAACTCTAGTTCACGTCGACAAGCACAGGGCCCTTGATCGGGTGCCTCATGAAAAACCAATAGCTAAAATGATGTCTTACGGGATCGGTGAATCCCTGCTTTTTTGGTTCCGATGATAGCTTACAAATCGAGCGCAAGTGATACAAATTCAAGAATACAACTCTGGGTTTACACTTGTCACCAGTGATATGACACACAAGGCAGTGTCCTTTGGTCGCTATTGTTCTTAATATGTGGTAATGATAACTTCGACGCATTGAAAATCGGTACAACATGTATGATCGTTGATAACATTAAAAATGTGCACATTTTCCTTTCGAATGCTGTCAACAAGATACAACCCGACCTCCATGCGCCTGAAACCTGGTGCTCAAAGTGGATAATGTCTCTCTCTACTGACAAATGTTGTGGAATGTCCCACAAGCTCGATCTGATTCACAACGGCCTGACTCTTGATGGAAAATCATTTAACTGTCTTATGAGAAGAGACCTGAGATTGCGATATGCATGTTCCCCTGACTTCTATAGGATATGCCACCACGAGTGCAAGTCTGAACACTGGATAGATATTTATGACTTTTTATACCAGAGTCAACGCTTCATTATTAAAATATCAGTTGCCCAATCCACATTGGAATATTATTCAATGTTGTATAGCAGCTCAAAAAGCGCGACCGCATCGCATTGAAACAAGTACAGAGAGCATTCACAAAATACTTCCTGAGTGCTTCTTCCAAACTGGAATATTGTGAATGATGTGATAAGCTCAAGCTTAATCCGCTCAGGCTGTGGCGCATGAAGCACAACCTAGCCATATCTTTTAACATCTTGTACAAAAATATACATGTTTCCAAGCTCAACATGATAGTAATGGAACAAGCAGTCTACAACACTCGAACCAAACAGAACTCAATTGCGGAATGTAAGTCCGGGACAAGCAGGTTTGTTAATGTTTTCCTTAACAGGTACGCCAGAGTCCGGAATATGTGCCTGCACTCTTGTACACGAATTTCGCAGAAGCATCAACACGTTCTTGACTGTACGGGACGTTTGATTGTTGTGTAAAAATAAGTCAAGTGTACGAGTAGGGTCCAGGTTTCATATGACCCAGTACATGATTCACCATCATACTCCTGTTAGTTAGCTGTTTTATATGTGGAAGAACGGTGAAATTCCAGCCAACATAGTTTCGATTCAGTTAATCGTTTATTGTCTTTGTTGTCCTTCCAGATGTCATTAATGGATCTGATATTACAATTTTCCTGATCCACCTGTGATCAGCGTACTATGTATGCACTTACCCGATCATGCCGATGCATGCGCGTCTCGCATTGTCGAGAATTAAAGTTTATTTATTTGTTTAGAAAAATCTAATGAAAATGTTCAACACGGAGAAGTAGGTTGCTAATGCATTTGATACACAGAGCATGCGAGTGCGTATAATAGGGTCACGGTGAATGAGATCGCGAACACAAATGTTCGGGAAGATGCAATAGAACCGGATAGGGTAGTGGCGAATCCGGGACGTGTTCGTTGTCAGCTAGGGGACGTAGCCAAGCTGTTTACAAGGTACCTCTCGTGGTCATGAGACGTTCTGAGGATGAGCTACATACGCTACCAACAATGTTTGTACCGGTGCGTCTCTACTATGCAAACCTAAAACAAGGTCGCTCTAGGATTAAAGGAGAAGAGACTGAAAGTAAGCTTGATGATGGACCCCGATACTCCTAGAAAAATTTCAGGATCAAGGTGCTCACATGTTGCCGTCGACACATGTGTACAAATAGCTGCTACCGTGTGAAGATGGGGTAGTATTCGCCAAACAGCATCCTTTCGGCTTTCACTGCTCCGTATCCCAAACAATCTTGTCCAACGGATTACCCAGCAGCGTACACCTTAAACAAGCAATCCTGTAAGCAATTATCAATGAACTTGCAACTGCTGCCGCTAGAAAATCCTACTTCTCACTGTCTCGAACCTAGAATTGAGTGGATTGTGTGAACTCCAGTTTTGAAGGTGAGCTGGACCAATGGCATCTAGTCCCGGCGGACGGAGGCTACAATTCCCGCTGTCGAGTCGATCATCGCCCAAACGCTCTCCTAAATAGGCATAAGTAGCATGTGATAAGCCAACGCAACTTGGTTGACCTAGCGAAACTAACTGATCATCATATTATACTCAGCTTTTCATCTTATAGCTGCAGATCCGCTGGGACCAACCGGCACGACCGTTGTTTCGAGGGCAAAGATGGATAATGAACTATCGGTGGTTGTGATGCACAGACGAGAAATGCTAGGTCCCATCGCCGTAGAGGAGAGTGGTTCAGTGCTGTGGTCCTGGGCACACGGTCTTCAGAGCCAATGGGAAATTTATTTTGGCGGCAAATGTGTCACAGATCGATGAAAGCGGTTCTAGATATTTTAGTAGATAAATTACTCCAGCAACCACACAAACACATCACTATGAATGCATCAAACAGGATAAACAACTAATATTTTATTTCTCGACAACGCGGGATACGGTCTAGCACGTGAGCAGTCAATTATTGGTCGTTAATACTCAACGGGTCGGCTAGTGCTTGGTGATTCTGAGGTAACACTGCACTTAGAAGGGGGAAACCGCAATTCAAAGATTGGAATCATTCTGGATATGCTATCGACGGTTGATTGCGTCGTTCCGAGGCTCTCAAACAGCATGATAGAGTCTTCACATAAACTCAATCAACACGCCCGGTATATCTACGGTCTGTGTTTGTAATAGAATTTATCCGTGGATACGCTGAGAAGAGAAATGGGTTTAAGGGGTATCCATAACGCTCGCGTGTATGGAAAATTGCAACAACCCAGACTACTCACTGAAATCGCTGTCACAGTTTTGTGCTGGTACAGTTTTTGATGCAGGTGCTGCCGTAGACCAAATGTTCTCAAAACATTTTCCAACTCTGTGTCCCGAAACGATAGGTGCCATTCGCATTTAGTAGCATCAGAGTAAGATTCGTCTTCCAGTGGGTGAGGAGCTGGTCGACAAAAGTGCATAAATCGATCCAAATCAACCGCTGCGCATCCTTGGCCTAAGCCGGCATGCAAGCAATCTCTGAGTAGATAATCCCACTTATCCACGTCCATTCCATTGGCGTTGTTGGACAAAATCTACAGTTACAATGGGCAATTAAAATACTTTTGAGATGAGGTAACATGGGCCGTAAGGTATAACACTGTTACACTCAATTTACTTGGTGACTACAACTCGAACTGAAGTGACTTGCAGTTAGTTTAATCTCTAGGACCATAAACGCCTGAATGAGGAAAACTGAGATCTGAATGTTCTACTTAACCAACGAAATAGCCACTGACGTACAAGTTACAGTTGCTTGGCATTCACGACAACCGCAACGGAGCAGACCATCTGTGATGGTGAGTTGTCGACAGGAATATTGTTGAATAAATCCTCCTACCATCGACATCGGAGTGTATTCTGGAAGGTCCGTACCTGCATTAAGGAAGCTAGCACAGCCCATAGACTTCGACAGGGAGGACATGCGCTATGAGGCTAACGTTATTATGAATAGCTTCCTCCGCACGATAGGCAGATCACGATCAAGCATCCGCGTGGTCGCCAGGATGGAAGTGAAATGGGGCTCGGTGGGCCCAGTGTTTGTGTTCGGATTCTGCAGCCAAATCAGCTGTTGTTTCAAGAATGGTGACCCGGACAACAAGGTTAGAGCTCAGATGGAAAATATAAAGAGCGCCAGTGTGTAGATATGAACAGGGGGAGGATAAAGCGGAGATGTGAAGACAAGATTAACGGATCAAGATGAGTTGCAATACCAGTCAGCAACCGGAAATGGTAAATCAATTTGGCTAAAGTGCAGATCAACTAACTTTGTTCCACAGTAACAAATCGAATCTAGATACCATGGTAAAAAACGAGTGGAACAATGGAAAGGGTGTAGACGCCGGTGGAACAAGCACAAGTGTTGCTGTTTAGCGACGCAGCTGGGTTAGTCAAGGGGCGGTGAACATCGAAAATTCCAAACACAAAGGAATTGCACTGGGAGCGAGCGAGTCACTAACCGTCTCTACCGGCTCCGTCCGTGTATTCCAGCTACAGAAGTACAGTGCGTAGTCCACTTTATTGCTTATGGATGGGAAGCCTATTATTATTATTATCTGGTCGGAAGTAGCTAAACCGAAGGGCATGTCATTCTGTGTTCATGATACTGCTCGTCAGGAGAGCGTAGGCAGACTGGAGACAAATTAGCCTATTCCAGAGATTTTGGGAACACTGATTATAATAGATGCAAAAAAGGGCGATGTGAGACAAGCCAATTGCAATGTCCAACAGTGCGACCATCTTCCTGTGTGAATCCGTTAGTAGATCCAGATGCTCGATGAGCTGGAATACTTCCACAATGCCGAGTCTAAATGAAGTGATCGAAGATATTAGCCAGCTGTTTGCTGCAGTGTAAAGGAGTGAGTTGGGATATTGCATCAATTCGATCAAATAGTCAAAAGTATCGAAAGTTGCACAAAACTCACTTCGTATATGAATGGATTGTGCGCAATACTCTTCTGAAACAGGGAACAGTAGGTGGATTACCAATGGGATAACGAGTAACTGACTATTGAAACTTTGGTCTAGCGCAGGGATAAATGACGATCAATGAGAATGACATTTTCAACCACAATAGGTCCCCGTATCTACGCGTGAACGTTGTACACCATACACCAAAATTTTAGGCCAATGAATGACATTATCTCAAGAGTTGAAGAGGACGCCTGGAACTCGATTCTGACCACCGAATCACCATGTACTGAATCACAGAAAACGTAACTAACAGATTCCCTGACTCTGTGTAAAAATATTGATACTTCCTCACCAATTTTGTCTGAAATGCTGTCAGCTGTTCTCATGTAGGCTCAACTTGCTGTCTAAAAAACTAACACAGTATGACTTAATCAAGAGCAGTTAGGGCAGTGAATGTGTATTCGTTGAGCTCTAATTAGAACCCGTTACGTTTTCCCCAACCTGTCTTATAATTTCTCTAAAAATTAAGGAAGCATGTTGCAAACAGTAGTGACTATTTAACATACAGCGAGATAAATTGCAAATGAATTGAGACGCATGTTGACTGTTACGAACATAGCCAGTATGTAACACTGATCGTTCAAGTGGGTTGTGAAAATGAAACATCATTAGAAAGTAGTTTTTAAGTATGTGAGTGAAATCAGTCATCGTCTTTGGCGAATTTACAAAGCAGTGATAGGGTGGCGGTGTGGCAACACTACGCTTGAGTCAGCACCACAATATGGTTGGCTAAAAAGCACCGACGCAGTACATGGGAATACTCGCATCGGCTCACAGTATGAGACATCAACAGCTGCAACCGGTTAGATGAGAACTGACGAAACAAGTAGAGCAGCCAGATGGAACCACGTTGTGTAGCACCATAGGCTACCAGGTCAGTTTAAGATCGCATAACAGTTCTGTGTGCTCCGAAGTAAAACACATACGTACCTGATCATTTTTAAGTGGCTTTCCCAAAATTAGACTCTTCACTAGATCCAAATCTATGTTGGCTGCAGCAAAATGTTCACGAATCGCAGAATTTGTCTTGACAATCCGTTCCAATACTAGACAACTAAGTTTCTCATGCTGTTTGGAGTGGAGATGCAAATGAAGATGAGAATTAGTGCACCGAATTTCTATCGATATTCGTAAGAAATGGTTACTTCTGATATGCTAATCCTGAATAGCTATCTTTGATCGGAATCATCGCGTTAAAATTCAAATATGTCTATAAAACACCAAATGGCAATATTGCTCTAACAATAACATTTTGATTTTCAAGCCTACTCAAAATAACTGCACAAACGAAATCAGACAGACACAGTGACATAACGAAAGGATGAGATCAATGAGCTGTTGAGTGGTAAGTGATGGGCGGACAAACAGAGTCAATCACATCGGCGGATGAGTTGAACCAATGGGATGCCATAAGTAACCTCTTCGGCATTCCACCTAAACTCTCCAACTTGACGAGGATCACCCGTCACCCGAATTCCAAGGATTATGGCGAAGCCAGGTATCTTCGGGTTGTGCTAAACTCTGTCGATAAGGTGGAAGCAGCGTTGCCTTCGACTGCTCGTTTTCAAAACGAAATCGACCTGGTCCGCGTCTTTCCAGACGTTCACTGGACCGAGCGAGGCAGAGCTTCGAAGACTGCAGGCTAAACACCGCAGCCAGAACGTTTTTGTCCATGGCGTCCCCCACTCTCACGAGCACGATGAATTCGAAGCGAAGACACACGAGCAGGAGCAGTGGCACTATATTCGTGAGATCCTTCTCTTGAATGACATTGTTGCTACTTCTCGAGACTGTCAAGATCAGATAGCTACAAAGGATAATCAAAACTGTATTACAAGCTAGGCAGATGGCACTTACGCAACTGGAACGCTGGAATTCACTTCGGAACAAACTGCCAACCGAGCTCCGGTTCAAAGCGGCGAGCGAAACTGTCATCCGACTTAAAGCACCACCACAGCATGCAAAGGAATTAGTGATCTTATCCGAAATTCATCTCGGAAGCAGGTCTGAAGGAAGTGGGGATCTTCCTGTGCAATCCTGCAGCCACTCCCAATGCACTGTGCAAACTGAGTTGTCAGAGGGGCTAATCACAATGCCACCGAATCCAACTCCAAGCGACTCGATGATAATACCACGAAAAATGGGCTAGCGGCCGACCATACATCGGTCGGCAAAACCTATCATCCTAGCCACAAGTGCCTCGGATCGTTGCTGAGAACCGAAACACTTTCCTGCATGTACACGAATGCCCAAGGCCTCCTCAGCAAAATCGCCGAGCTTCGGTTGCGCCAGGCAACAAACGTTTGGGATCTCATCTCCATAACCGAGACTTGGTTGCACTCAGGGATTACGGATGCCGAGATCGCGATTCAGGGTATGTCCTTGTTCCGACACGATCGTCCCAGCAGGGGAGGTGGTGCTATCCTATACTATCGTAACGACTTACAATGCGAACCACTGGATGATCCGGAGACGCGGGTCACCGATTCCCTATGGTGCCGTTTGCGTCTCAGACACAACGACAACTGCTTCGTGGCAGTCGTATATCGCTCCCCATCGTCCACTCCAGAGATGGATTCCCACCTAATATCATCACTGACGAAATGCTTACTCCCAACTTACAGCCACGTTCTTATTTCCGGCGATTTCAACGTGCACGACTTGGAAAGCTCGGCATCCCCCAGCGAAACATACAAGGCCGAACTGCAAGACCTTATCGCAAGTATCCCGCTCTACAATCACATCAGCTCACCTACCAGGTACAGAGCTGATAACAAACCATCGGTACTTGACCTCGTCCTTACAAATGAGGAACTCATGATCGACAGGCCATTTATAGACACCCCACTAGGGTTAAGCGATCATGTCACCATACTTTATAACTATGTGTGTTACGCTGAATATCCTGAGGAACACACAGAACTAACACGTACTATCACACATTACAACATCTTGAACAACCTAGTTGAGACGACCGATTGGGAGTTCTTGAAAGGTGGCTCACCTGATAGCGCCTGGATTCAGTTTGTTGGACGCTTCAGCAATCTAATCGCAACTGCTTCAGAAACAAAGAGGGTTCGCTCCACCAATCCCTCGTCTTTCATCAGAAGTAGAACTCGCAAGCGCATGTCAATAAGGAATGCAGCTTGGCACACTTACAGAGCTCGTCCTTGTCCCGAAACCTGGAGCGATTACGTGACCCAGCGCAACCACTGTAACATGCTTGTCCGTGAGGACAAATTGACTCACCAACAACATTTGGCCTGTAAATTTGCCAACAACAAAAGCTCCTATACAAGCATGTTAACACCATCCGGAAAGTGAAGCTCGGTATCCCCCCACTTAACACGCCAGTCGGAGTGGCACAGAGTGCCGAAGAGGCAGCCAACGCCCTACGAATGCAGTATGCCCCAACCTTCCAAAGAGACGTCCGCCAGTGTTACATACCCACATCCCTATCCCCAACTTCAACACTCACTAACATCGATTTTACTGCCACAGCTGTGTTGAAGAAACTGCTCTCACTACGCACCTACAGCTCTCCCGGAATCGACTATATTCACCCAAGGGCGCTGAACGTAGCAGCAACAACGCTGGCCGGGCCATTATCGCATTTCTTCCAAACGTGCTTGGATAAACAAATTGTGCCTACCATGTGGAAACATGGCGTAATCACTCCAATTTTCAAAAGCGGTAATCGCTCGGAACCCGCCAACTATCGCCCAGTGGTCCTCCTCCCTGTGCTCTCAAAGGTGATGGAGGCAATCATCGCTGAGGCTTTAGTAGACCATCTAGAACGCCACAACATCATAGCACCCGAGCAACACGGTTTCCGCCAGCACCGTTCATGCACTACCAACCTACTGATTGCACGCAGTAGTTGGACGGAAGCGGCCGATACAGGCAGAGGACAGACGTCATTTACCTCGACTTCTCCAAAGCCTTCGACCGACTGGACCACCGCATTCTGCTTCACAGGCTCGAAAGCTATGGAGTTGGTGATCCTGTCCTTGGGTGGATCAGGAATTTCCTGCAGGATCGGCAACTGCAGGTCAGAGTTCGAAGTGCGCTGTCCGATCCGATTTATGTCGAATGTGGAGTTCCACAAGGATCAGTTCTGGGCCGCGTCTGTTTCTCGTGTTCATTAACGAGCTTACGCGTTTGATTGCTTCAGATTTCTTGCTGTTCGCTGACGATGTTAAGATGTGGCGGACGATCGCCGACCCAGCAGATCACGATGCACTTCAGCGAGACCTGGACAGAGCGTATGGGTGGTCACTCCACAATCTGCTCCAGTTCAATTCGGGGAAGTGTAAGGTGGTTCACATTCGCCACCAGCCGAACATCACATACAAGCTTGGAGACCATGTCCTGCAAGCAGTCACCCAGGAGCGCGACCTTGGGGTACTAGTTCAGGCTGATCTGGGCTGCTCAGAACAATCTGAGAAGGCGTCAAAGACTGGGAACCAACACGTTGGCATGCTGCGGAGGGCATTTGGGCGGTTTGATCCCTCTGTCTGTTCGCAGTTGCTTAACACCTACGTGCGGCCTCATGTGGAATACGCAATCCAGGTGTGGCAGCCCTGGCACAAACAAGACCTTGCAGCGCTCGAGACTCCACAGCGACGAGCCACGAAGCACGTCAAAGGGTTGTTCAATCTTCCTTATCAACTTAGACTGAGGACCCTAAAATTATACAGTGGCCGGTACCGGCGCCTACGTGGCGACCTTATTATGGCCTACCAGATTCTAAGGAACCCCAACCACGTCTGCCGTCACCTACTACAACTGAGCCACAACACGAATTTGAGGGGCCACCAGTTCAAGTTAGCCACGCAATACAGTCGGCTAGAATGTCGACGGAACTTTTACTCTCTTCGTGTGTGTCAGCCATGGAACGCCCTCCCAAATTACGTTGTTTCCGCCCCCACTTTACCTGTGTTTAAAAAACGCCTTGATGTTGCCCTAACCCACCTACACTACGAGATATAGCCTGTGTGTCTCGACAGACGATATAATGCGACGAACGTTGCACAACCAGAATTAACCTAAACAACTGTGGTTGGCTCTTTCTGCGTGCCTCTGTGTTAACACTGTGGTGAGTCCACCAAAACGATTTTCATTTTATCCCTTTGTTTTCTATTCACCATGTTGTGGTTCTCTTTTTGGCCATCCTACGGGACTTGCTAAGCATCCGCTTTTTTGTTCGTGATATACCGCTGTTCCATTGTTTCACGGTTTCAAATACGTGAGACTACGAAAACTAGATAACGATAGGCATAGGCACACACTTTCATCCTTGTAATATGACCGGTGTTACACCAATTGGTGCCGACATGGTATGTGAGAGTAAGCCCGATTAATACAGTAACAACGGAACGATGGTTTATGAGAAGTAAAAACAACAAGCCTAACATGTCCCGTAGGTTGGTAATTGAAAGGATTACAAATTCGAATAGTGCATAAGTGAACCAAATAAAATGCGCATCGGTGAAGCGATAGAGTAATGTTACGAAAATAATAAGGGTGTGGCGGTGACATGGTACCATGCAAAACGGAATGACAAGTTGTTATGCTAATAGCAGATGGTTACATGCAAAACGGATTGACAAGTTATAATTAATGCTACTAGCAAATAACGATCGGATTGTTCACCGGACTGCATTCACCTGAGTCATTGTAGGTTATAATTTCAAAGAATCTAGTTAGTCTGAATATATCCAGAATATCCATTCATATCACAACGAGTAGGGAGCTCAATGCGATATCCAATCGTTTTTTTGTAGATGACTGAGGTGGGGCACAGACAACTAAGTTTGGAATAGCGTCCCAGGGTTGGCAGATTCGGAGGTAGAAATAAGTTCGTCGATAATCTAAAAATGACTTGGTTTTATGCTATTGATTTTCGGGCTGAGTTTTTAGGTGGCGGCATACGTGACTGCTGTCACTTAGTATTTGGTAAACTAATATGAGGTCTCAATGTAGGGGTTCATTCGGTTGGTACTTAGCTAGTACAAATTAAAGTGGGACTAGAACGATAAGGAAGCCTCGCGACTGTTCCCTCCTGA